TATAGTTGTGGCCAGCAGGTGGCGTAGTGGTTAGTATGCTGAACACTCCCACATGGCTTAATACAGTCTGAGTCCTAGACTTGTCTTACTTTCTCACTTTCCTTCTCTCTCTCTGGTCAAATTAAAGTAAATGAATGATTAACTAAAATTAAATAATAATAAAAAAACTTTAAAAAAAGCTATAGTTAATATTTATAAAAAGAAATTTCTTCATTAAAGCAGGAGGTTCAATAAACATTGAAGATTTCAATGACTCTAAAAGTATTCAGATGCTTGGCTACTGTGCACCTAGGCCTATTTAGACAGTAAGTGTGTGAAGAGTGAGGTTTAGGGTAAGAAAGTAAGGTTACAAAATATAAGCAAAAAGGAAAAAAAAAATAGAAAAATACTACCAAAAAAGAGTAAAAAATGAGAACGTGAAGCATGCCACGTGAACACACCAAGAAGGACTTTTGCCACTTAAAATTTGAGTTGTTTAGAGGGATCTTCCTGTCATCAGCCGACCACAAGTCCCCTGTCTGGTGTCAACAGGGTACTAAGATAGAAGCACTGCCCCTGTTTAGTATGCTTAACCTTGCTCTTCCAATTTGCATCAGATGTAGATTTATGCATTAACTTTTTAATGTCACTCTTGTTGCTCTGTGAATTTAGATCAGAGGAAGATCTGGGCAAAAAATATCTTTGACAAGGTAGACAAAAAACTTAATCAGCGGACCTTCTAGAGTGGAAAAAGAGCAGAAAATAGTTTATAGATCTGTTTTGGGTAAGCTGTACCATTCTATTATACCTTAGAAATTTGAATCTTTATTTTTTTGCATAAGTGGAGTAGAAATTGTATGCCTTTGAAACAGCTTAAAATTTTCAAGTAACTACTGAAAATGGGTTATAAAAAATGAAGGTGATTAAAAAAAAACAGAGCAGATATGCTTTACTTATTGACTGATTCCTTGATATCAACAATACTATGTGACTTCTGTTTCCATCAGATTAAGATATTAATTGGGAATGCTGATATGACCTGACAATTTCCCCCTGTGTATTCACATACAGAATAAAGAACTGAGAGACTTCGGATATAACTAGATAAGCTGTGAAATACAGTATAAGGCTTTTCTTTTATCTGCATCTATGGCATTTTATAAAAATTTCACTCTGCAGTCAGCTGTGTATCATTTCCTTTAGTTGGTTATATTTGCAATGGGAGATTGAATGTATTAATATCTCCTACATAGGTTAAAAATTTGCCCTGATCCTAAGTATTATGCTTTTTTTAAAAATAATAAAACCCCATTTGACAGTTGTCAAATTGTAGATATGCGGATGCTGAAACCAGGCCCCAAAAAAGGATGGCAATAACTTTGCCACAGAGATTAAAGGTCATTTTCTGTCTACTACAGAATCGTGTGTTGCTACAGTATAATTGAGGGAAATGCATAGTTTTATGTTCAGCCAGGTTTTAGATATTATTTTCCTCTTCCATTTTGAAATCCTTAACAGGCTCTCAGCAATGTGCAGCTTTCTTCTTCATCACGTGTGCTTCTGGTCTGTGGCCGCGGTTGGATTAGGTGCTCTTGTGTTGTGTGCAGGTAGTCTGAGCAGCCATTCTTGTATGTAACTTTCCTGGAGTAAGCACTTGTACACAAAGCTAAATGAGAGCCCAGGAAATGAGCTATACATAGGAATCTTCCTTCTGTAATGTAAGTGGTCATTGCTTCTTTCAAATGATCAGATTTACATAAAGTTGATAGGTCTTTTAAAAATGTAATTGACTGAGAAGGATTTTTAAAGATTTTCCTATGGCCTGGATATGGACTTTTAAAGATTTTCCTATGGCATGGATACACACCAGAAGATGGGAGATTACTAATTCACTAAAATGAAAATGAGGACCACTTCTAAAGAAAGGTCCTTGGAAAAATCACAGAAGTAGGCTTAGGAAAGGCCAGAATTCTACCTGAATTCCTCACTTATTCTTGTGACCATTGGAGCATCCTGACTCACTACACTCCAGTGACGGAAGTTATTTCATTTCCACTCTGAACACCAGCTGTGGGGAACACTGATGGGAGGAATGTGTATGTTTCACAGTGACAATAGCATCATTGGTGGAGAATTTGCTGTGAGTGAAAAGGCAGTGCTTTCTTTGTGTGCTGGTGATTTATAAGAACCTGGCATGCTTCTTCATTTGCAAAACAGTACAATGGAATTGGTTTCCCAGTGAATCATGCCTTTTCACTAAAACTCATAATCAAATATTTTCACAAAGGTGCTATACCTCCATGCATGAACATTCATTTTGAGATGTTTATTCTAATGGAGTTTAAGTATTAATGTGCTTTTAAAAACTGCTGTTTTAAAATTTTAGTTGCTCAAGAAAAAATACATTATAAATCTTTCAAATAAACAGTGTCTAGATTTTGTTTATAAGGGTTTCTAATTGCGTTGTTTACTAAAATTACTAATATAGCTACTAACAAAACATGTGACTTTCTGAAAATCACCCTAACATCTGTATATGTGTGAACTGTAATGACTTTGTACGTTCCTTTCTATTTGGTGTTGGTAAAGCAATTTTTTGTTCCTTTTTATATTTTTCTGGCCCTGATGTTTTTTTCAAGGTTGGCCACTAACTTTGAGTTTATTTCAGAGGAAATAAAAAAATCACATATTGCCTAGGTAAAATACTCTCTGCAATTCTTGAATATTCATACCAAACTGCGAAGGTGCTTGAAGTTAATCACTAAACTACTTAAAAGGTATAATAATATGCCGCTTTTACCTGACCTTGTCATTGGTCAAAATGTATGCTATACATTATAGTATGATTAATATGCTAATTCAGCAAACCGAGTGTCATTTCTGATTTTTGCATCATTTAGCTGCTTACTTCCAATAAAGAAATTGGCTATACACTTTAGCCAAATATGCTAGTGATCTAGTGTTTATAGATAAAAAGGCATGTCAATGTGGGAAGAGGCTGACACAGACTTTAGGTGACACTGGTCCAATGACGCTGCCTCAGTTAGTGAACTGAGTCAAATTTTGCTTGCTGATAAAAAGTCTTGCAAAGAATGGATCCACCAGTGGTGAGTTTTGTAAACATACCACGCAGTTAAAACTGCATGAATGGAAATGTCCATGGCTTTTTCTTTGTTTCTTGTTCTTACTCCCTTCCATGAAAGGCAAAAAGTAAAACACTTTTATTTGAAGGGAGGATATGTCTTCTCCGCATTAATGATTGTGCCATTTGTCCACCATGGGAAATGGTGTTGCAAGGGATCCTCTTTGTTACTGTTTGTAGAGGAGTCAGTTAGCCTGATGCTGAGCAGTAGATTAGCACACCATTTTCACCTTTGAGTCAGGATACACCTTACAGCTCCATGGCAGCCTCCCAGGATCCATGGGCAACATCAGCTCCCTAAGTCATCTCTCAGGTAGAAGGTTTCCCTATACTGTGATTCCGTCCTCACTTATACTCTAAAACTTGAGGAGGGTTTGTGATCAATGAAGCAGATGTAGAGGGTCTGGGACTGCTGTTCCTTGGAGATGAGTCACACATGTACAGACCTACGTGGGCACCTATGTGGCAAAATCCCACTCATTGTATCTCCATGTTGGATAGTAGAGAGGTTTTGAGGCAGCATCAGTAGATGGCTCACAAAGAATGTGTCTTAGAATCCTCTCCTGGCCTGCTCTGGGATAGTGCATTGGACTTTCCTTCCCTTTCTGCACACATCCCTTGTTTTCATCCTCTTCTTTTCTTTGAGAAAAGTATGAGGGTAACAGGAGCCTCTCATCCAGGCCTTCAGTGTCCCCACCCTTGCAAGTAGACTCTAGAGTTGTAGATACCAGGAAGGGAGTGGTGACTTCTTCTCTGATAGCTGTTTGGGAATGGTAGCCACTAATCCACCTCTGGTGACAGGATCAGTATTGGACAGGTCTTAGAGTATCAGTAGGTTCTCAGTGCATTTGGGGCATCTAGACTGAAAAGAAAAAAAGAAAGAGGAAGGAGGTGACCAATATGGGGGCTGGGGACATCCCTGATAGATGATCTAGAGAGAAGTTGTCTCCCTGGGTCATTGAAGGATTAACTTTGACAATACTGGGTAGATTAGTCATCTTCTCTGAGGTTTTTTAAAAATTAGACCTCAGTTAGGCATGTCCTGCTGCAAACCTGCATGATACTCCATGCACTCTGTATTCCCAGAGGCCAAAGTCCATGCCAGGGTGCGTGGCTGGGCTAGCATTTCAGTGCTACCCCATCCCCAGGCCAGGCCAGTGGGTAGTGCCCAGGCCTTACTGTGCTCTTGTCTTTTGAAGACTCAGTGAAGTTCCTTTTCTCCCAACCCAGACACTATTATTTTTATTTTCATAGGTTACTTTTATTTTCCTCAAATTTGGAGGCCATGAAGTGAGTTTAATAACCACACAAAATGTTATCTTTGATTTTTTATTTAAAAATTAATAAAGAATTTAATGACAAGTATAATAATTTAATCTCTATATGTCCTGATAGATGATCTAGAGAGAAGTTGTCTCCCTGGGTCATTGAAGGATTAACTTTGACAATACTGGGTAGATTAGTCATCTTCTCTGAGGTTTTTTAAAAATTAGACCTCAGTTAGGCATGTCCTGCTGCAAACCTGCATGATACTCCATGCACTCTGTATTCCCAGAGGCCAAAGTCCATGCCAGGGTGCGTGGCTGGGCTAGCATTTCAGTGCTACCCCATCCCCAGGCCAGGCCAGTGGGTAGTGCCCAGGCCTTACTGTGCTCTTGTCTTTTGAAGACTCAGTGAAGTTCCTTTTCTCCCAACCCAGACACTATTATTTTTATTTTCATAGGTTACTTTTATTTTCCTCAAATTTGGAGGCCATGAAGTGAGTTTAATAACCACACAAAATGTTATCTTTGATTTTTTATTTAAAAATTAATAAAGAATTTAATGACAAGTATAATAATTTAATCTCTATATGTAATGCCATGTGTACATCTACATATGAGGGAACACTGTATGTTTTACCTTGGTTTTGTATCAAAGATTTTACTTAAATCTTTCTAAGAGAAGAATCACCATCTGTAGTGATGTATTACAATTAAACGATGAAATGATTTTGAAATTTTTGTTTTCTATTTTGAAGATACTCGTAAGGAGGAATTACTTTATCTTCAGAGTTTATTTTTGACTCTGGAAATTTTAACTTTTTTAGGGGATCTCGAGTGATTTGAAACCATGATTTTTTTTTTCTTTTTTGTCTACTAGGCTGTCTTCTTGTTTAAATACATTGGTAGTACTAATTAGAAAGCTGCTGATACCATTATTTCAATTCACTGAGATAGTTGAGATTCTTAAAACATAAGGAGTGATAACTTGTTGCAAACATTTTTATAACTTTAGTTAAAAACAGTATAAAAAACATGAAACACATTTTTAAATTTTTAGTCTACATGAAACAATTGCACTTCCTTCATGGTACAGGATCAACTTGCTCATCATTCTTACCCCAAAATATTTCTCAATTCTATTTACTGATATTCAGGATTTGAATCCTCATATAGTATTTCCGCAAAAAGGTGTGTGTGTTTGTGTGTGTGTGTGTGTGTGTGTGTGTGTTTAAATTAAAGTATACATCTGCAGTATTATTTGTTTAAGTAACCTCCATATACATAATATACTCTTTGCATTTTTTTAGGTCTAGATCTGATTACCAATCACTAGGTCCTTGTAGAATCAAAACACTTAGAACTAAAATAGATTTGCTCTTGAATCAGGAGGAAAATGCATGGCAAGAAGTAGCTCCAATCTGAAAAAAGCAGGTTGAGATCCTTTGACCAAGGTTAGCCACTTTGTGTTTGGCATCTAATCAATGAGGTGTGCATGTCAGCACACAAGTAGATATGAAACTGCTGGACAGAAACTTGAAGACTAGGTTTTCCTGTATGTTCACAAACTATTCAAAATTCAGGTTGTACAAAAAAAAGGCAAAATAAGATCCCTACTTCCTATTGTGAAAAGCAAAAAATTGATAGACAAAGTCATTAATAGACTAGGGGATTTTGATTTCTATAAAAAGATACTTGCAAAGGTGCAAAGAAATGAGTGAAAAAATAAAGGAACTAAGATTTACATTGCAATGAGTAATCAAGAGAGAACTCTAAGTGTTACCGTTGATAAAAAATACTTAAAAACATTTGTTTCACAGCTTTCTCCTAAGTATGTCGTTTAGTACAACTTACTAATAGGTTAAATGTAGGCGACATTAAGTTTGTCCATTGGTAGCAGCTAAACTACACACACTGTTTCTCTTTGAGATGGTCAGGTCTTCCATGGTTGTTCCAAAGCATAACGAATCGTATAAAACGTCTGGCTGCGTTTACGGTGGTGAACAATGTCTCAGAGGGTTGATCCATGAAAACACTTTCTGCGATGGCACTGATTGCCTGTGATTTATTGGTGACTGCATTATCCATTGTGTATCTCTATGTGTGTTTTCAAATTCTTGCCAGAATTTATCATTTGGCCTTTGGGTACCAAAAGATTAAAAACGAGATCTAAGAAAGCTTAGTGTCCAATAGCTCTGACCCTGTCAACTTGCAGTGATTAAAGGCATATCCTGACTTTGGGGGACTCCTGGCTGCTGGCCATTTGGAAAATGAGTAGTAAACATGTCGTAGGTCTGGAGATGAAGAGGATGCTAAATTTGAGGTGTCAACGTGACACTGAGATGTGGTCACTTGGCTTAGCGCTACAGCACATGAAGGCAAATATACATATAGTCACATTTTAGAGATTATTCATGGTCTCCGACCACTTGAAAAAATTGTGCTTTCTCCGGAATTTGATGTGCTGAAAATTGCACTCACCCCCTGCTTATTTGCAAAATGAAACGTAAAAATGAAGTCCTTTGCAAACATAAGGCTTGCTTTTTCTTCTCATTATTTAAAAAAAATAAAGGCTTGAAAATAATTATGAGTTTCGCTGTGTACAGAGTGAGAGCCTGCTGTTTTGCAGGTTGATAACGTAATACTCGCAGATCTGGGGGAGAAGGGAATAGAATTTTCACTTATCATCTGTGACTAGGTAAGTTTCATTTCAGATTTTACATCCCACATCAGTGAACTGCAAAGAATAGCAGGCAAGGTGTCACATTTAATACCTTGCTCCTATTAATTATCTGTTGGTACAAAGGCCTTTTTGGTACACAGGGCGAGAAGTGGGTGGTGCCCAAATTGGCACCACAGTTGCCTTGATCCTATTCATTTTGGAAAAGGATTGACTTAACTCCAGTGGGTTTTAAAGACGGCCTTGAGACTCCAAACACCATGAGTTTTAAAGGAACCAGAGTTTCCATCTTCCATGCTTTTTAGATTCAGTTTTGGATTTTTGCTTGGGAGTTGAGGAGTAAGTCTCCTGAGAATAAGGCGAAGGTGCAACCTGAGTTTCCTCAATAGGATGGAGTTTCCTCAGAACTGGCTGGAGTTTGTCTTCTTGCTGCTTAAAATCTAGCTCCACACTAGAAGGAAAACAGAGTGAAGAGTTTTAGTGCTTCATCTTTCCCCTATAAAGATTCCCCTCAGTGTCAGCAAAATCTGGCAACGTCCTGCCAGCATAAAGATCATTCCTATTGGGTTGTCGGAAAAGTCATGATGCATTTTTGCAAAGAAAAATATATCATGACTTTTCCGACAACCTAGTATTTTAATTATAATGTCATTTTATGGCTTAATATTAAGCCATTGTTTACACTAAGATTTATCTGTATGTTGTTATGGAATATTTGAAATGGGCTCATTTTCTTTAGAAAATACTTATTTGCTTCCATAGGCAAGTTTTATTAATATACACAGTTGGTGTCCAAGTATATGAGGTATTTGTTGAAATGAAAAATGCGAAATAAGAATAAACTCATTGCCCATAGATTGTCCACATATGTATGCTTCATAGAATAAAATCATAACCAAAGTAAGGGACTCGGGGCCATGTTAATATATATATGAGGCACATGTGAGCTCTGTTCCTGTGCAGCTTGTCACAAGATCAGAGAAATGTGTTTATCTCATCTGAAACAATCGTGAAATGAAATGACCTTGGCTTATATTCTTCTAGCAAAATCTGTCCAGCTAAAAACTGGTAAGAGCCATAGTGTCTGTCGCTGGGGAAAACTGTGTGTTTATCGAGTCAACACCCACTGAATGTTACTCAGTCGTTATCAAACACAGTTTTTCAGGAAGAAAAACAGATAGTGTTTGGTCAAAACAATACAAAATTGTAATCACAGGACAGCCGAAGCCATACTGTGCAAACACTGCCTTGTGGGAGGACATTTGCCAGTGGTGATGTACATCCTATGTTAGCAAGATGGGATTAAAGACAATTTTGAAAAATTACAGGTTATTTCTTTAAAAATTTCTCTGAAGAATGTTGTCCACTTACTAGAGTCCTCCCTTCTCTCAGTGTCTTTGAAAAGGACCATCTTTGGTCTCCTAACTCACGTTCCTGACAGGTCACCTGACATTTGGGATAGGACCCTCATGACCCGCATGTCATTTTTCTGGGGTGACCTCAGCATAAAGGAGCTTTTCCTCCCTTATCACACCCCCACCCCTCCCCAGAAACCCTACGTTTTGGGACAAAGCACTACATCACACCAGACCTCTGGAGGATTCTGCTGTGTCCTCCTTCCATGTCTGGTCTGGATGCCAGACTAAATGTCAGTAGATTTCAGTAAAAGCTCAGCGATGATGATAATGCATGAGCTCATAACATTTTATAACCAGTGGAACTGTAAACCATTTATAAACATGAAATCCTATTGATTTAGAGAACCATTAATCCTCGCCAAATTTTGACATTTTGGAAAGACAAAACAGCAAAGCTGTATTAGCTAGAGTTTTAAAAACAAGTTCAAGACCTATCTAATGGACCATTTCACATTTTAAATCCACTGTTTCATTTTTCTTATTGTCAAAGGATATTATATTACTCAAAAAAAAATTCAACAAATTGTCAGAGAAGTTTATGGCTAGTTACTTCCTGCTCCCAAAACAAGAGTTAATCTTTTCTCCATTTCAGAGGACCTTTCTGAGTTATTCTGAAGTTTATAGGAAGCAGAATACAACCTAATGACCTCAAGTTTTTGGTAATCCAAAATATGTGGTAATGCAGGAACAGTCCCTCAAAGACTAGTGGTGAAAAGTACCAGTCAGAGGATGTGCTGCAGTTAGGAAATTTGAGCTTTCGTTTTGTGATGCCCAGCAGTAGAAAGAGCACAGGATTTCTGCTCTGCCTTATTGTCTGTTGTGGGTGGTGGGGTGAGGGACTCAGGTCCTTTATCCTCTTTAACCTTCAGACTTTGCTTTTAGGGACAATCATAATTCCCACCTGACTGTCTCACTCAACTGTGATAAGGATCTTTCCCCCTATCTCAAAAAAAGGTCTATGAAAGAGTATCCTAAACTATAAGGTACAATTTCTTTTTTCTTTTCTTTTCTCTTTTGTTTTTTTCTTTTCTTCCTTCTAGGAAGAAGGAAAGAAGAGAGAAGACAAATGACAGATATTTTTGACAGGGTTTCATGATGTCATGGTTTTTCTGCCCTAGCTTCCCAGTTAGCTAGGGCCATGCACATCTGTCCCCCACTAGGCTCATTTAGGTTGGACCAGGAACTAAAACTAGGCCTCACTGACCACATAGGAACACCTCCTGCTTGTGCCACTGTGGCTGAATTAACAATTGAAATGTTATTTTTATCTTTTACTTATTATCTGTTGATTACTAATTTTATAATGTGAATAAGAGTTAACTAACAACAATATCTATTAGCGAATTCTTCAATTTGGACATTTAACAAGGAAAATGAGGTCCTAAGAAGGATCTAGAGTCTATGAGCATGTGATACGCTGAGTACAGAAGATTAGTTTTACCAAAGTGCCTGGCTAATCTTGAAAGCATGCTTTCCATATCATAACCATTTCAACAGTCTCAGCTGTGTTTTGAGTTATTAACAGAGGGTGAGGGCTAGCATTCCCTAGGCTAACGGTGCAATTCTGGGTACCTGTAATTGTTGAATTCCCATTAAACAACGACATTGGAAGGCCTGTTATTAACCAATTTATCACACCGTGGAACCATGTAATCACAGAATAATCTAATCTGAGTTCTTGTTAACAAAATGACTCAACTTGATCTGTGGAGTGGATCCTGGTTCGCACTCTCCTTACACTGCACTGGGAATCTGCAGCAGGAGCAGCTTTTTTTTTTTTTTTTTGGAGAGTTTTTTGCTATAGGGCACATGCGCTCGCCAGACAGAGAGAGACAGAGAGACAGAAAGAGAGAAATCATCCCCCAGCGGGGATGGCCATGCCGCAATCCCTTCTCCTCCATTCTCCTCTCGGGATCTTGGGCACGCACGCACATGCGCCCAGCGTGAGTTTTGAGCCACCGGGTCTGGGACTCGAACTGCGGTCAACTACATGGGAGTCCAGCAACACAGCCATTACACTAACTGCTGGTCCCCAGAGTGGCTTTTTTAGCAGAGGGCAGGTGTGACCTGTGAGTGCCTGGTGGTAATGGGGATCAGTCTTTGCCTCTCCCTTCTGGAATGTGCAAATTGCAGTGCATCTACTTGTGAGATGTATGTGCACCAACCAGCCAAACTTGCAGGGGTGTGCAATGCTGTTGTGTGGAGATAATGTGCATCATTCTGAACAATGCTTTCTGTGGGGAATTCTTCTCTTTGGGGAAGGAAACCCCACGTCACTTGAGTTGAGTCAGAAGTAGACAGCTGGCTGCAAAGGGCAGTATCAGAAGGTTAATAGACTTGCCAGCTCTGGCTGACATAGAACAGAAATCCCTTTAGGCTTAATAGCCAAATGGCCAGGAGAAAGTAACACCTGCTACCTGGGTCAGAGAAGAGGTCTCGGACAGAAGCTGCTGATAGACATTCTAGGGCACTGTGACTCCTCAGGACACAGTCCTCCATCCTTGTTTAAGGTAGTGGGTTTTTCAGATAGTTCTCAAGTGGGGATTGCCTGGTAGAGGGAGATGACCCTCACTTTAGGTATCTGAGTGACAGCCCCTTCCTTCTGCCTGGCAGATATGTGGTGTAGGTGGTGGTTACCGCTGCTGATGCCACACTTTTTTCCTTTTCTACCTTCTTCTTGGTTGTTACTTTCCCCCAACATGAAATACCTTTCCCAGCACATAGTGTGGCTGGCCATACCCTGTCCCACTGTACCTCAGCTACACATAACCTCTTTGCTGACCACCTTCTGATCCATCAACATCTCTGTTTCCTCTGTACTATGCATGAATGCTTATTTTATTTGTTTACATATTATTTTGACTCCATCTTCCCAAATGTAGGTGCTCTGTCCAGGGAAGAACATTACCCTGCCACTGTCTCCAGCACCTGGGCAAGGCCATGTCATGGCAGCTGCCTAAATGATAACTCCAGAATTCAGGAATGAGTACAGAGCCTTATGAGGCATGTTCTACTCAGCGTTAGTCCCAGTTGCTCTGGGCTGCTTTATTTTGGTGAGTAATATTGACATCTCCTCTCACAGTAAGTCCCCCTCCTGCCAACAGCAAATATGGCTGCTCTTGGAGGCAGTGTTGTTGGACCTGCTCAAGGTGGGGTCTGCAGCCTACCTCCATTCTACTAGGACTTAATCAAATATGTGTAAACATAATTTATTTTTTTTAAAGAGGTTTTTGTTATAGGGTGCGTGCACTCAACAGAGAGACAGACAGAAAGTGAGAAATCACCCCCCTACCTCCCCAGGAGGATGGCCATGCTGCAATCCCTTCTTCTGTGTTCTCCTCTCAGGATTTTGGGCATGCACACACACGCATCCAGTGTGAGACTGAAGCCACTGGGTCTGGGACTCGAACCGTGTTGACCATGTGGGAGTCCAGCAACGTAACCATTTTACCATCTTCTGGTCCCAAAGATTTGGAAACATATTTTGCCAAACACAAACCAGGATCTTTTTGGAGCCTAGTTCACGTGTCCCGATACCCTACTTCCCTATTCTAGGAGTCCGCAGTAAGACCTCAGTAGAGGTGTGCAGGGTGTTTTTGTGAAGTGACCAGCTGCTCCCATGGCTCTGCTAAGTGCTCTGTTATTATATTCCCCTTTCATTCTTCCTGTGGACCACCGGGGTCCTAGTCCGCTCTTTTCCTCAGGACTGTTGCTTCTAAGTGCCATCAAAGACAACTCACCTTCCCTGTGTTGTTTGTATGTGCCTTCTCAGGGAGGTACTAGCACAAAAGCTTATCCTGGAGCCACACAGGCATGCGGGAAGTCTGGGCTCCAGCCCTTGTCATCTAGGACTGAGCTGGGCTTTACACAGATGGCTCCCGGAGAACTCCTGTGTCCTACTACCAGCAGCAAAGCAGCTGGTGGTGTCGGGCATCTCCTGCCAGCTAAAGCAGTGTTTGCAAGGCATGGGCAAGGGAACATGCACACCATGGTACATGCTCATTCCTGTGGACCCGGGGAGAAGCAGCCTGGG